ACCCCCCCCCTGCCGCTCCGAGGATGGCTTCCTCTTCAGCTAATGATGGCTGTGGATACTTGTAATTAAAAGCAGCTGTATTCATTAGGAAAACTGTGAGATCAGCCAGGACACGTGCCAGACCAGTGTTTGTCCCCGGGGGAAGGGGTGTGGGAGGGTGTTTGGGCAGGCTGCAAACCTGGAGGAGCTTTTAATTGTGCTTTCGCTGCTCAGTCCCAAGTAGGGCGAGATGGGTGCAAGTGGGAGGTGCGAAACAGATGTCACGCTGGGTGCTCCAGGCTTCTAGGGCAGAGAATGGGCTTTGAGCCTCGCTGCTCCGTTGAGGTGCTCCTGATTTTAGCCAGGCATCAGCAGAAACTCAGGCAGTCTGAGTTGAGCAGCTGGAACCTGAAAATACTTGAAGGTATTTGGACTCTGTTGGGTGTGCTGTGAGCCTTGAGGAGGTACTGCAAGGTAGGGAAGAGGGTGGGGATGAGCAGGGCAGGCAGAGCACATCTCAAATATCCACCTCACGCTTTCCCTGTGCTGGGTCTCTGCATGTCCCTCATCCCCAGCCCCTCTGACGGTCCCCGTCTCCCCAGCAGTACCGCATCCCTGCCCCACGACAGCAGCCCTATTGACTCGCAGCTCCTCGACTCCACACGAGATGTTTTTGTGATTTTTTGGGGGGTTTGTAGAGGCCTCCAAGGAGGTAACGCATCCCCAGCCGTCTGCTGGTGTGACTACAGGGCAGCAGCAGCTACCACAGGCAGGTCTTGCCGGAGGGATGGATTGGGTAGGTCCTGTGGGAGCTCCTTCATCTGCTTCGTTTCCATGATTACTGCACGTGCTGAAACGGTCAAAGCAGAAGACTTCAGCTGTGACCCTGTCCTTCTCTAAGGGAGGTAGGGGTGGCCAAAAGGGAGGTGCTGTATTGTGTCCTCCCTTTGTCACCCCGCCTGGGACTGGTCAATGCTGGGATTTCAGACTTGGTAGGATTAAAGGGTGGAAACGTTCAATCGCGTTTCTCAGTTGCAGACAGTGAATCAGCACTCTCCAGGTACGCTGCTTGGCAAAGGAGAGAAAAACCTAGGGCTGCAGCAGGGATTAGTGAGCAAGCAGCCAGCGCCTGTTTTGCCTCTTGTCTTTGGTGTATGCTAATGTGAGCTCAGCTCGTCAGAGAGGGTGATCCGGATAAGCCTAGATTAGAGCAGTGGGGCAAGGCAGCGTATGGCCCTGGTTGCCTTCAGGGCTCTTCCAGCACTTTGAGAAGACAGGGAGGGAGAGTGGGAGGAGCAGGATGGGAATAGATCGATATCAAGTGTCTCGCAATACCCAGCGGCCACCCCTCAGGCTCGGGAGGTTCGACTGGGTCAGGGGGAGATAGATGGACGGAGGGGAGCAAAGGCAGCTCAGGCTGAGAAAAAAGGCACAGTTTGGGCCAGGCACGTGTCCTCAGAGCGTGCAGCTCGGTAAAAAACGAGTCCTGATGTGTGCAGAGCCCTACGAACGTCCAATCTCGAGGAAGAGCTCAGAGATGCTCAGTGCTGCTGGGGAAGGTGTGGGGGCTCTCGGGGCCGGCTGGGAGGGAGGAGGACAAACTGGGGAGCGTGAGCTTGCCTAAATCTCTGCTCTGGCTCTGTGCCCAGACCCTTGCAAAGGCGTCCTCAACGACATGAACCGTGTCTGCCGGGTGAACCCCCGCACTCGAAAAGCCGACCTGCTCTCCCGCCCCGAGAACTGTCCCCCGAAGAGGGAGCTTGTGTGCGGCGATGATGGGGTGACGTACGACAACGAGTGCGTGATGGGGCGATCGGGGGCCATCCGGGGCCTGGAGATCCAGAAGGTGCGTTCAGGGCAGTGCCAGCATCAGGGTAAGTACCTCTCTGCTTCCCGGGGAGCAGGAGGGTTCGGGTTCCTGACCTTCCGTGCTCCTGGCCGCAAGAGCGTACCCCCTTTCCCTTGTCCCTGCGGTGGGTGCGAGCGGTGCCGTCCTCTCTCCTCGCAGACAAATGCAAGGAGGAGTGCAAGTTCAACGCCGTCTGCCTGAACCGCCGGGGCACCACTCGCTGCTCCTGCGACCGCATCGCCTGCGACGGCACCTACCGACCCGTTTGCGCCCGCGACAGCCGGACCTACAGCAACGACTGCGAGCGGCGCAAAGCCGAGTGCCACCAGAAAGCTGCCATCCCAGTAAAGCACAGTGGACCCTGTGGTAAGCACCGGTGCCGCCGGGCTCATCGCCCGCAGGAACGCTGATATCCCCACACCTCTCGCTTCCCGGCCCCAGCAGCCACTTTAAGCCCAGCCTGCGTCGGGCCCTGCCGTGCAGGAGTTGATGCTGAAAGCTGCAGGTAAGCTGTGAGTGGACGTCCACCACCTGAGCAAGCCCCAGGCTCTCTTTGGTTTTGCAGCCAAGTTCTTCCCTATTGTTTTTCCTTCAAGCGGTCCTTGTCTGTGTGTCTGTACATGTGTTCCTCCTTGGTCTTGTCTCTGTCCGATGTGCTCCGTAACCCAGGGAGGAGTCATTTGTGTTCGAACAATGCAAAGTGTCCGTGATTTCCAGCTGGTTTCTCTCATTCTCTGCCATGGCCAGGTCCTCATTCTCCACCACGCAGGTGCCGCGCAGCCCACACCGTTCATTTCTCCTCCCAGGGTAGTGCCAGTCCCCAAGTTCCTTCCATGCTTCCCCCTCCATGCCTGCCTGCTTCTCTCAGCTCCAGGTACTCTCCGTAAGGAAATCTGACTGCTCTCTGGATGTCTCACCATGTCTTTTTCTCGTCTCTGGGAGAAGGTTTTCACTTTGCCGACAGATGGTTTTTCAGTGATAGGATGGGGCTTCAGGTCTCTAGGGTGTTGGGAACGTCCAATTCTGAAACGGTTGCATGGAAAATGAAGGAGGTTACACGTGGTCGCTGGATTGTTTCGTATGGGTTGGAAGGACTGCTCGTTTCAGCTCGCATTGGTTTTTACTAGACGTAGAACTGTGTCCTATTATTTTAAGCTGATGTTTTGAACAGTGTCAGCTGTATCAAACCTCCTGAAGTACTTGGAAATGAGGCCCCATGTTGCGGGTCTGTTTTGTTGGCTTTGTGCTCCTTGCAGTAGGTTTTTAATGCTGCCAGGCTCAGCTGCCTGAAAACCATTTTGTCAGGCTCCCAAAACCACACTCTATATAATCACAACTGTTATTTTTAATTGTCCATTTCACTGTGCTTCTGCTGGTTGAATGATGAGGAGTTGGTCCCTCCGAGTTCTCCCTACAGGGAGAGTGACAGAGGCACCTCTCAGTGCTCTCTTTCCCCAGTTACCCCGCTGCCAGACACAGCACGTCGAGTGGAGCGAGGCCAGTGGGCAGGAGGACATGGTCCCTCTGTATCTGCCGTTCCTCCCTCCCTCTTTTAGCTTTCTCCCAACTTCTCTTTCTCCACGCGAGGACTGCAGATGTGCACATCTGCTTCCAGGAGCTACGTCCTCGTGGGGTAGAGGCAAACAAAGCTCGTAATCTAGGGAGGGAGGAAATCAAAGCTGGGGCTCTGTCTGCCAAAGCCTGGGATTTCAAAGTCCGCGCGGCAGCTCCAGGCAGCCCTGGAGCAAACCACGTGAGGTGTGGGTAAGCCTTTGGCCTCCCCATCAGCTTAGGAAAGCGTCTTCTCTCTGAGCTCAGTGCTGCCCTTCGGAAAGAAAGCCCGTCCTCTGTGTCACCAGTTCAGGCTCCGTGTGAGGTGGGAAACATTTAGAAACGGGGACAGGGTGATGATGTTGCTTGCCAGCCCGTGTGTTAAAACAGGTCTTCTCAGCACGATCCCTGCTGGTGGTGCTGGCTTCTCTCCTGGGTGAGGCTTCCTTGGGGTGCAGCGCGCCGTCCTGCAGCTCCGGCTGGCACAGGACTGGTGGGACACTTGGTGGTGGGTTGAGACCAAGGGTTGAGGGTGCTACAGGCTCCGTCTGCATCCAGCACCCAGGGCTCACCGGGAGGGTGAGAAATTCATCCATGCCTCTGTGCTGTGAGGGTGCAGGAGATGCACGGAGCTGGGGAAGGGAAGACAGGCTCTTGGTGTGGTCACAGTGTTTTAGTCTCTCGCACGTATTTCACAAACAATAAGTTCTGCTGCTGTGTTTTCCAACAGCAAGATAAAGGAGGCAAAGCCAAACAAAACAGTCTGGGCCTTGTTTTTAGTTCTCAATTTAACACCATGATGGTGCAGCTGAGAAAGAAGAGATGGGGTGAGACCGATGTGGACAGGAGGTGGAGGGAAGGTGTCTGTAGTTGCATCTGTCTTTTTCTCCCTGCCTCTCTCTGCTCTGTCCTGCTCTTTCTCCCTCCGTTCTCTCTCTCTCTTTCCTTTTTCGTCTGTGTCTTGTGTTTTACAGTGTTGCCTGTTTGGAGGAAGGAATTGTGTCCTCGCAGCACCCTTCTGCTCCCTACCCGGACATCTCTGCTAGGAGGTCGGCTTTCTCCCCTGCTCCGTAGCCAGTGGCAGTGCTGGCCTCTTCTCACTGCTCCCCACCTCTCTAGTTTTGCTTGAGAGCCCCTGGGATGGAGAGATTGCCTTGGTTTTGCTCCCATCCCTCACCCCAAACACATCCTGCTGGAATGGAAAGGCCTTGCAGTGCAGTGGGGTCTTGTCTGATGCTTGCTGTGGCTTGACCCTCCGAGGCAAATGAGAGGGGGAGCAGAGGTGGGTGCTGTGAGCCCCCCACTCCTTAGCAAGCCCCTCTTCAGCTGATACATCACTCTGGACTGCTCCTGGTTGATCTTACCTCTCCTTTTGCCCCTGACTAACCCCCCTTTCTTCCCCACCTCCTCCTTCCCAGAGACTTCTGCCTGCCTGGGACTGTGATGCTTGTCCCTTTGCTCTCCGCGGTGGGTGTCACGCTTGCCTCTGCAAATCCCGTAGGCAGGGGCTCCGCAGGGGTTGCAGCTCCCCTCCCCAGCGTCCAGCGAAGCACCGTGTGCCTTTTGGAAGCGCTGAGGAACTGTCTGTGTTCCGATGTGGTTCTTCTCTGGGAATATTCCCCTGTGTCCCTGTGGAGCTGGTGCTGGAGCCCAGCGGGTGTCATGGGCACAGATCGATGGGGCATGATGGGTTACAAAGCACCTTCAGAGCCTCTTCTTCTTGGCCATCCACAGGCAGGGCTGGCAGAGGACCTGTGTCCCCAGGTCTCAGGGCTTGGTTGGCTTTCTGCAAACCTTGGCAGCAGGTGAGGGATCAGGCCCCTGAAGCGATTTTGGGTGCAGAATGAGCTTTTTGCTTGCTCTGTGCCTCCGTTTCCCTACTTACAAGATGGAGAAGGGCCAGGAATCAAAGCAGGTCTTGATTATAGCACAACCTAAGATCCTTGCTCGGTAGGTCCCCGTTATATGCACCCACGTCAAAATTGGTACCAAGAGCCTTCATTGATGTCTGCAGGTGCCCAAAGCTGAGTGTGAAATTTCACAGGCTGAGATTCAGACTGTGAAGGAACTTCATGTGCTGCATCTCTGCAGGTTTACCCACTTAAGAAGGGCAAGGAATGTCAGGACAGTGTTCTCCATCAGGCCTGGCACCTCCGTTTACTCTCACCTAGTGCTCCCTTGCTCCCCAAGACAAGAGTGAGTCTGGATTTCAAATGAGCGCCTGTATTGGCGTCACGCCTAGCTCCTTGCATCCCTGCTGCCGAGTTGTGTCCAAGCAGAAGTGCTTTCTCCACGCAAGTGTGTGTCTCTGTGTGTTTGAGGGATGTGATTGTGTTGTTTTTAAGGAAGTGAAACGCCAGCAGAAGGTGTGAGCAGCATCCCAGGGCTAAGCACAGCAGGGAGCGGTTCGGGGTCCTTGGGGACTGCTCACAAACTCTTCAGGGTTGAAGGAGCAGCCATGTGCCTGAACTGTCCCCCTCTTCCCCGTTCCTTTGCAGACCCTTGCCTCTAAGCTTTCACTTGGTAGGTGCTTCCCCAAGTGCCAGATGCAAAATTCAGGCTTGCCTGGGCCAACAGCGTCAGCCGTTTTCTCGCTGGTTGACGGCAGGAAGGCTCCAGCCTTGCTCTTGCTCTGCAGATATGCAGCTTTGGTCTTAGCAGGGGAGGAAACAGGACCTGCAGCCCTGTGCCCTGTGCCCTGCACCGTGCCAGCAGGCTCTGGAGGGCTTTGTCTGTCCCCTTGGCTCTGTGTCTGCCTCGCTGTGTGGTGTTGGTGGGGCTGGGCTGTGTCTGCCTGTTGTATCCATCTTGTCTTGGCCTTGTCGTTTGTT